TCAAACTCTTGTTTCATTTTAAAATTCTTACAACACCTCATTTTTTCCACGTAGTGGTCTCTCTCTAGATTTTCTTCGTCCTTTTTACCCAATGAAATCATGCCACGTCATCAGTTTGCAAGATTATTTGATCTCCTCCTGCTCAATTATAAGGATTTCTTTTTCGTTTTGTTGGGGATTTAATAAATAAACATCAATTATTTCACATTTTTTTTGTTTCCAGACAAAATTCGTGTTTTTAATGGGGAAAATTAAATATTAAAAGAGATAATATATGCTGCTCGCATTTAATTAGTATATGAACTGGCAAATACAGAGCAAGATTTAATGCATTTCGATGGGTTACATGAGAAATCTCGATCACAAATTTTCGGTACGAAAGGAGATGCAAGAACCCTAACTCCCCGAATCTTGATTTATTATACCATGCATGTCACATGTAACATCGTTTTCTACCCATGTCCAATTGGATTGGCCATACATCTTCCACGTCCTATATCGTATCGTATCTCGTCCATGGCGGATCATGCATCGTATAAAATGAAATGGTATGAAAGGATATATGTGTATATATATATAAGCATATGTTTCGAACCGTATAATAAGACCCTAAACCCAGAAAACATGATTGTATAAAGTCTGATTTTTTTAGATTCGATTGGGGTGACATTTGATAAAATGATTTATACAAAATTGTTGCTATTTATCATTAAATTTGCAGAAACTGAAGTTTTACGACTGTTACTTGAATTCCAAGAAACCTAAATTCTTCGCAACAGCTTTATCTGACTTCGAAATGCCATTGCTACTGCTAAGAATAGGAGGAAAAAAACGTCATTTTTATTTTTTATTTTTTAAAAATGGTTACTTATTACACATCGTTGTTTCAAATCTGTTATGGTTGTGAAATGATTCATTGGTTCATAACGTTTTATCGCTTTATATATATATATATATATAATATCATCATCTACTACGAACTTACTCGTTTGAGTTTTGTGAATTAATGTTACTTGAAGCCCAAGAAACTTAAATTGCATGCACCACTCCCATTTTTGAGTTTCGAGCTTTGGTCCGGAAAGATTCTCCACAAGTTTATTACTTTTTTTTTTTTTTGGTTTCATAGGGAACAGATTAAATACATAAACACCGGAATAATGGAAATGATCAGACTCACGAAAATAAATCAAATTTAGGGTTTCTTCAAGCCCTGGAATCGAAGTCGTCGTCTTTGCTTGTTGTTCCACCGATCACGGCATCGTCGGGAACGTATTTGGACCAGAACTTGTGCGACTTCCAGACTCTGCCCATTTCTTCGATGGGGACGCCCTTCGTCTCAGGCAACAAGAAGTACATGAAGGTTGTCATGATGACGACCATAACGGCGAAGAAGTAGAAGAGACCAAACTTCATGTGGCAGAGCATGGAGAGGAAGAACTGTCCGATCACGAAGGTGAAGAACATGTTCACCGACACGTTGATCGATTGACCCGCAGATCTGATCTCCAGCGGACATATCTCACTCGGCACCAACCATCCCAACGGCCCCCACGACCACGCGAACCCCGCCACGTAGACACAGATCATGGCTAAGATCACGTCCGCATCCGCCTTTGACAACGTCCCTTCTCCCCTCAGTCCAAACTTCCATCCGATCATTGATCCGACACCGATCTGTTTTTACAAACATATAAAACAGCAGTACTTACTGAGCTTTCTTGATTTGTATATATGGGCTAATTAATATATCTATCTATATATATATGGGTGTGTGTGTATGTACAGGTACCTGCATCAAGATCATCTGAGCACCACCCTCGAGGAAGAGAGCCCTGCGTCCAAACTTGTCGACGGTGACGATGGAAACGATGGTAGAGATCACGTTAACCAGTCCGGTGATAACAGCAGATATGAGGGCTGCATCATCTCCAAACCCTAATGTCTTGAACAAGACAGGGGCATAGAACATGATCACATTGATCCCTGTAAGCTGCTGAAAAAACGGAATCACCGAACAGAAAGTGAGTTGCGGTCTGTATTGAGGTTTCATGATGTTCCTCCATGGGTGCTCGATTTTCTTGGCGGCCTGGCTGGCGGCGTAGAGGTCGTTGAACTCGTGTTCGATGTTCTCAACGCCTCTGATCTTTCGCAACATTGCCTTGGCCTCTTCGTGGTTGCCACGTTCGAGGATGGAGTTTGGAGTGTCGGGCAAGAAAATGGATCCGATGAGCATCATTACGGCTGGAACACCAGCCAATCCGAGAGAGACTCTCCATCCGGCGACGTGCTTCAGCTTGGGGGTTCCGATGTTCACAAGATTCGCCACAAAGATACCAATGGTGATTGCCATCTGAAATCCGATGTTCAACGCTCCTCTGATCTGAGCCGGTGCCATTTCAGATAGGTAGACAGGAACAGACTGCAGTTGCACAGGTGATAAGATGGATCTTGGCACTATGTATCACTGATCAATAGCACGATCAATAGTGTATCAAAGTGTACGAGTGAATTACCTGGTTAGCGAATCCAACTCCGACACCGAGCATGAGTCGACCGATGATTAGCATTTTGACATTCACTGCGAAACCGTTGAGCAGAGAACCGGCAAGGAAAGCAAGGCCTCCGATAAACATGGAGTGTTTGCGGCCGAAAACCCTAGTGACGGTGGAAGCCAAGAAGGATGCGAAAAGGGCGGCCAAGTAAAGGGAAGACGTGAAGAGGGTGAGAAGCTCGTTGTCGTATTTGCAGTACTGAGTGTCGGTCTTCGATTTCTGGTGCTGAAGACGGAGAACGTCGGGGAAGAACTTAGTGAGGAATTCCTCCATGGAAGTCACTCCTCCTGAGATACCGATGTCGTAACCGAAGAGGAGACCTCCCATGGCTGCCACCACGCATGTTATGATGACGAAGGCCGTGACTCTCCCCTCATAGTCTCCTCCTCCACTTGTTGCAAACGCTCCTCCTGCCATCCCTTTACGAAAAAAAAAACTCGTTTCAAAGGTAAAGAAGGACGAAAGGCTGGTTTCTTTTCGTAAACCCCTTTCTCACTTCTCTTTGACCTCGCTTTCCTTGCTTTCCTTTTGAATTCTCTTCAGATATTTATAACCCTCGAATACATCAAGCCATTCTCAGACAGATTTTTGGTGGCCGCTTAGAATAGCAACTGACAGTTTGTTGTTTGTTGGTTTTAGTCAGAGATATGGATGTCGTGTTCTATCAGCTCCCAAAGTTTAGGGGGGTCAACCTAGTGGGTTTTCGTTGTCTTGCATGTACTTTTAGAAATTCAAAGATAAAAGATAAAAGTTGGCCAAAATTTAGCACAAATATATTTGAAGATTTGTATTAGATTTTTATGGTTCATCTGATTTATCTAATCACCCTTTTGATTGATTAATTTGGATTATATTCATCCAAACCTTGAATCTAGATAAATTAAATTTATAAAGACTCCTCATATCATATAATTTCTGTGATCTCTGTTTCAGTTTTTCATATAATCTTTTTTAAAAGTCATATTTCTATACATATAGGATTATATTTTGGCTCTTTGAATGTTGGAAACTTGCCCTAAAAACAGAGAGAAGGGGAACTCTTCTCTAAAAAACGCAAGAGGGAACTTGGTCCGCCTTGAGAGTCATTAAAAAAAGAGAGGATATTATCATATATATATATATATATATATAAAGAGATTTTAATACTAAAGAGATAAAAATATTATGGATATAATGATAAATTATAGAGATTGTAGGAATATTGATAGACTGTGTATAAGGATACTAATAGTATCAAGAGATACTATCATTATGCGATTTATTTCTATAATTTAAAATATTCTCTTAGTGTACACACACACACGTACTCTCTTTCAATGACAATGATTTCCAATAATATTTTTCTACAATTTTTTTTAACGTTCTACAATTTTATTTTATTGTCATATTAGAATTGATTTCGATTTACATTTATAGTTTTCAATTTTCCGTTCCTAACAATCATATCAACATTATTCTTTCTAAAAAAAACCACCTATTTAATTTGATTTTTACGTTTTATTATTAGTTTCCAAACCAAGACCTAATTTTGGGTGGTCTAGTGATAAAAAAACATGCAAAGCATGTTCTTATCCGGGGTTTAAACCCAAGAGTGGAGAAAGATATTCACCTAGACTTCTCTGATTCTACGAGAATGTATTTGGAGCAAAAACTCGGTGAATTTTCGGATTATCAAAAAAAAAATATAGTTTTCCGGGAAAAAAATAATTTTCACCATTTTATATCTCTCCTGCCATTCAATAAATTTTTGTTCTAGGGTAAAGTTATAGTCTATTCTACATCCACAGCACATAGCAAATTTCCTCCATCTTTTTAAAAAAAAAACAATTATGCCAAATTTCATCTAACATGATATCTAAAATAATTAATATATCAAAAGACAATTACTAAAAAATTTCAATAAACAAGATCTTCGCGCCCTCGATAATTGTTTTCCTCGTGAAATGATCATGAAACGGAAATAAATCCTCCTAGTAAAATCCAATGTATATTTTTCTTTTACCATTCAACATTATTAAATCCGGAGATTTCATGTATAAATAACCTTAATCCCGATTACTTTTCCACTCGTATTCCTAAAACTTCTCTATTTCCATAAATTTAGATATACTCTCTGTATATATGTATAAGTAATTAAATCTTTTCTCTTTTAATAATAATAACTTTCTATAACTTTTTTAATTTCTATCAAAATTGTTAACCAAAATATAATCCGTAAAAGTTGTAGATCAATATATAAATTTTCAAAATATTAACAGATCTTTACTCAATAATTATTGTATCAACCCACACTCGGAATATTTAAGTATTGAAAGCCGTAATACAACTCTGGTGTATTCTAAGAACCACATGCCGATTGGTCCGAAACATTCCCCACAGATTTATTACTTCTAATTTTTGTTTTGTTTTTTGGTTCCATTGTGTAACTAAACTTGATCTATTCGTTACAAGTCTTTTCAAAAGGCCAAATAAAACACATAACAAGTAAAAACAACAGGATGATGGAAACCGGACTCATGAAAAGAAATCAAATTTAGGGTTTCTTCAAGCCCTAGAATCGAAATCCTCATCTTTGCTTGTTGTTCCACCGATCACGGCATCATCGGGAACGTATTTGGACCAGAACTTGTGCGACTTCCAAACTCTGCCCATTTCTTCGATGGGGATGCCCTTCGTCTCAGGCAACAAGAAGTACATGAAGGTTGTCATGATGACGACCATAACGGCGAAGAAGTAGAAGAGACCAAACTTCATGTGGCAGAGCATGGAGAGGAAGAACTGTCCGATCACGAAGGTAAAGAACATGTTCACCGACACGTTGATGGATTGACCCGCAGATCTGATCTCCAGCGGACATATCTCACTCGGCACCAACCATCCCAACGGCCCCCACGACCACGCGAAACCCGCCACGTAGACACAGATCATGGCTAAGATCACGTCCGCATCCGCCTTTGACAACGTCCCTTCTCCCCTCAGTCCAAACTTCCATCCGATCATCGATCCGACACCGATCTGTTTTTACAAACATATCAAACAGAAGTACTTGTTGATTCATATAATACGTATTTTTTGTTAGTTCGTTTGGCATAATACACACACACGTGTATATATATATATACGCACCTGCATCAAGATCATCTGAGCACCACCCTCGAGGAAAAGTGCCCTTCGTCCAAACCTGTCGACGGTGGCTATGGACACCATGGTAGAGATTACGTTAACCAGTCCGGTGATAACAGCAGATATGAGGGCTGCGTCGTCTCCAAACCCTAATGTCTTGAACAAGACAGGGGCATAGAACATGATCACATTGATCCCTGTAAGCTGCTGAAAAAACGGAATCATCGAACAGAAAGTGAGTTGGGGTCTGTATTGAGGCTTCATGATGTTCCTCCACGGGTGCTCAATTTTCTTGGCAGCCTGGTTGGCGGCGTAGAGGTCGTCGAACTCACGGTCAACGTTCTCGATGCCTCTGATCTTGCGCAACATCGCCTTGGCCTCTTCGGGGTGCCCACGTTCAAGCATGGAGTTTGGAGTGTCGGGCAAGAAAATGGATCCGATGATCATCATGACGGCTGGAACACCGGCCAATCCGAGAGACACTCTCCACCCGTCTACGTGCTTGAGTTTGGGGGTTCCAACGTTCACAAGATTCGCGATGAAGATACCGATGGTGATCGCCATCTGAAATCCGATATTCAATGCTCCTCTAATCCGAGCCGGAGCCATTTCAGACAGATAGACTGGAACAGACTGTTGCACACAAGCCATAACATCATATGTCTCTATATCACTCAAAAGCACGATCCATGGAAATCTTGCGTTTCAGAGTTGTTGAATTACCTGGTTAGCGAATCCAACGCCGACACCGAGCATGAGCCTACCGAAGATGAGCATTATGATGTTGATGGCGAAACCGTTGAGAAGGGCGCCGGCGAGGAAAGCGAGGCCTCCAAGAAACATGGAGTATTTGCGGCCAAAAACCCTAGTGATGGTGGAGGCCACGAATGATGCGAAAAGAGCAGCCAAGTAGAGGGAAGACGTGAAGAGCGTAAGAAGGGCGTTGTCGTATTTGCAGTACTGAGTCTCGCTCTTCTTTTTCTGATTCTGAATACGAAGCACTTCGGGGAAGAACTTAGTCAAGAACTGCTCCATTGATGTCACTCCTCCTGCAACAAGTACACACATATATATACATATGTTACAGACAATTCGATCGACCATTAATTGATGTCGGAGATCTATCAAAGAGACACAGTCACACCACCATTACAGAAAGACGAACCTGAAATACCGATGTCGTAACCGAAGAGGAGACCTCCCATGGCGGCCACCACGCAAGTGATGATGACGAAGGCCGTGACTCGCCCTTCATAGTCTCCTCCTCCATTGGCCGCAAACGCTCCTCCTGCCATTTTCTTTTTACAAAATCTTTTCTCTTTCCCTCGATTCGAAAAGAGCTTCAAAGGCGAAGGGAAAGATGAAAGGTCGGGTTCCTTTTGTAAACTCTTTTAGACCTAGCTTTCAACCGAATTTATAACAGAGATTTCCCCAATCCATTAATTCCATTCTCGGACAGTTTCTGTTCTGTCACAAATCTTGTCGACCCTCGGAATAACAAACGGACGGTTTGATGCCTTTGGCGTTGAGATATGGAAGTTCTGAATTTTATCTGCTCGCAAAGTTTATGGGTTGTCAACTCGTGGGGTTTTAGCTGTCAAAAGGATAATTGTTGGTCAGTTTAGGTAAATTTATATTTTTGAAGATTTCTTTACATATAAAGAATCAATTACCTAATTGGCTAATCACGCCCTTTGTTTTCATTAATAAATCCAATTATATCCATTCAAATCTCTTATCTACTAAATTAAACTATTTTTTAATGTCAAAATACTTATTCTTATCCAAAAAATATATGAAATCAATATATACTTTTTATATATAAATGAATTAACTATTTAATTTTTTTTTATGTAAACAGATAAGTTTTTTAAAGATATCTAGACTTTTAGTAAAATAGTTAGATAATTAAACGACGGTTTGAATATTACGTTTTGAATGTAACGATGTTAGGTTACAATATGTACGTTTTAAAAGTTTAATTTGGTTGAAATCTGTTATATTTGAATGTATACGAAAATGCGAAATAATATATTATATCATATAAATTGAATAATATACCAATTAAATTTGGAAATTTTCAATTAGTCATAAGATAAACGTAAAATTATATATTTATTTAGAATTTTTAAAATATCTATCTGTATCAGATTTTCCAGAAATATGAGATTTCATAGGCTTTTATATTTTAGAAAATTATAATTATCCAATTCCAAGTAATAGCTATTAGCTAGCTTTGTCTAGATTGGATTATTCATATTCAGTTAATTATTTTGATTTTAAAAAAGTTTTAACCGTCGAGTTTTCATATTTAATTCGGTTTGGTTTAGTTTATTTTGTTTGATAAAAGTATTATTTTAAATTTTTTATTATGGTGTAATTTGTATTCGATTATAGAAACGTCATAATTATTCGATTTTTGTAGTCAATTTTTTTTATGGGTTCGGTTATTTGCTCATTTATTAAATAAGCCGCTTTCCCAGACATCAAAATCGCGTCTTGAAACGCAATCAGGCTCCACCCTCAAAACGCTGGTCGCTGATTTCTCAGGAAAGCCAAACGCGGCCTCCAGTTGACAAAAAAAACCCGTTTTGGAGACTCTTCTCGCGGTCTCGTTTTGTTTAGTTTGGTCCAATCGAACTCGGGAGACATTCTGGGAACGTTTGTTTCTCATGGCCTTCTCGAGAGTCGCTGTTCTTCACCAGCGGTTCTTCAGACAACGCCATTCCCGCAGACCCTTCTCTACGAAGCACGAGAACATCAGTTTTCTTGCTCCCGATCAGTCGGAGCTTGCTCGGAACCTAATTTCCATCTTCACTAGACAACCCTTTTCCCCGGACGATCCCGAGCTGCGGAAACTCGCGCCCAAGCTCACCACCAAGGTTGTCGAAACCGTCTTGAATGGGTTCAATAGGTGGGGTTTAGCTTACTTGTTCTTCAATTGGGCTTCGAAGCAAGATGGGTATAGGAACGATATCTATGCTTACAATGCCATGGCTTCGATCCTATCACGTGCTCGACAGAATGCCCCACTGAGAGCTTTAGCGAGAGACGTTGTGAATTCTCGTTGTTTGATGTCCCCTGGGGCATTAGGGTTTCTGATTAGGTGTCTGGGTTGTGCTGGGTTGGTGGAAGAGGCAAGTTTCGTTTTTGATCGAGTTCGAGAGATGGGAATTTGCGTTCCGAATGTTTATACCTATAATTGTTTGTTAGAAGCATTTTCTAAATCTAGTTCAAGCTCGATTGAGTTGGTTGAGATGAGGTTGAAAGAGATAAGGGATTGCGGGTTTCATTTCGATAAATTTACCCTTACCCCAGTTTTGCAGGTTTATTGCAATACTGGAAAATTCGATAGAGCATTGAGCGTTTTCAACGAGATTCATGATCGAGGTTGGCTTGATGAACATGTATCGACAATCTTGGTCGTGTCATTTTGCAAGTGGGGTCAGGTGGATAAGGCATTTGAATTGATCGAGAGGCTGGAAGAACACCATATCAGCTTGAACTATAAGACTTACTGTGTTTTGATTCATGGGTTCGTAAAGGAGTCTCGGATTGACAAAGCACTTCAGTTGTTCGGAAAAATGCGTCAGATTGGTTTGACTGCGGATGTTGCGTTGTATGATGTGTTGATAGGAGGACTCTGTAAACATAAAGGTCTCGACATGGCTTTGAGTTTGTATTTGGAGATTAAGAGATTGGGGATTCCACCTGATAGGGGAATTCTTGGAAAGCTAATATGTTCATTTTCTGAAGAAAGCGATTTAACTCGGCTAGCAGAAGTAACCGTCAGAGACATGGACACAAAATCCGTAATGCTTCTTTACAAATCGATTTTGGAGGGATATATCCGGAAGAACTCATTGGACGAAGCTTACAATTTTGTTCGAGCACTGGTGGGAAATCCTGAGTCTGATGGTATCCCTGTGATTATTAGGCTTCTAAAGGACTGTAAGAAAGCAATTCCCCCAGATTCTTATTCATATAGCATTGTGATTGACAGCTTACTCAAAGCTAATAGGTTGGATATGGCGGTGAACCTGTTCCATGATATGGTCCAGAAGGGCCTTAGTCCCAGCCTCGCAATGTATAACAACATAATCGAGAGCATGTGTAAAGAAGGAAGGTCTGAAGAGAGCTTGAAACTTTTAAGGAACATGAAGGAGGCTGGAGTTGAACCGAGCCAATTTACGCTTAATTGTATTTACGGTTGCTTGAGTGAAAAATGTGATGTTGCAGGTGCTCTTGATCTGCTGAAAAAGATGCGTTTCTATGGATTTGAGCCATGGATAAAGTATTCAACCTTGCTTGTCAAAAATCTTTGTGAGAATGGGAGAGCATTTGAAGCTTGCAAATTTCTTGATGATGTGGTTGGGGAAGGTTTCCTTGGTCACATTGTTGCCTATACAGCTGCAATTGATGGTCTGGTAAAACATGAGGGAGTAGACAGAGCTTTGGAGTTATTCCAAGACATATGCACTCATGGGCATTGCCCTGATGTGATTGCGTATAATGTATTGATAAAGGCTCTCTGTAAAAGGCAGAGAGCTAAAGAAGCTGAGAATTTGGTAAACGAGATGATATTGAAAGGGTTAAAACCTTCTGTTGTTACATATAATAACATGATAGACGGATGGTGCAAGGAGGGTGAGATTGGGCAAGCCATGACTTGTTTCAAGAGGATTATGGAGGATGAGAAAGAGCCTGATGTTATTACATATACAAGCTTAATCCATGGACTATGTGCTAGTGGAAGGCCTGATGAGGCAATCATGCTGTGGAATCAAATGAAGGAAAAAGATTGCTGTCCTAACAGAATCACTTTCATGGCACTTATTCAGGGTCTTTGCATGTGTGGCAGGTCAAGCGAAGCCTACGTTTACTTTTGTGAGATGGAAGAAAAGGAGATGGAGCCCGATTCAACCGTTTACTTATCACTTATAGGCGCTTTTCTGTCTAGTGAAAACATTAGCACGGCTTTTGAGATATTCAAAGAGATGGTTCATAAGGGACAGTTTCCCGAGTCAGTAGATAAGAACTATCTGATTGCTATAGATGCAATGAACAAGTTTGTGAAGAACTCTAGGACTTCCTGTTATTTAACAGGTCTAATAAAAGATGGCAGGTTGCCCTCGGTGCACATTTTACGTGCTGGGAGTGGAAAATGTGCCTGAAACTTGTAACTGATACAGAGGATATTACCAAGTTTTTGCTCTGAGCTTTTCAACTTGCGATCAGGAAATCTCAGTTTTGACATAAAAGAAGAAGTTCGTCCTTGCTGATGTTGGCCTAATGTTTGAGGAAACTGCTCCTTTGGACCAGGTACATTACTGACACGCGTACATCTGACTAAAAGTACACAAAATAATTGTCTTGTCTGACACTGTTAACCATTTTTAGTTTATGAACTTGGAGAAAGAAAAAGGTTTGAACTTGTTGCTGCTACCTGTGATTACAATTGCATCTGATTGGCAGGTTGGAAATGGGAAAGAAATCAAAGATTTCGTCTTTGAGATGGCTATGGAGTTGTCCAACAACAAGAGAAGAACAAAGCAACTAAGCTTTTTGTTCAGGGAATCTAATGGTGAGCTTGCTTAGTGTACAGGTTGGCTGCTTGTCCTTCTATCGCATTTCTCTCACCTGCTAATCCCTGAATCATAATCATACTTCATGCCATTTGATCGGTTTTGATGTTGTTTCTCGAACTCAGATAAGTGCTGAATCTCCGAGCCCTATGCACAAGGGCGACACCTCCATAAAGGTTGCTTATCTGCCAGACCCGCATGTTTGTTCTTTACCGATACCCGATACAATGCAGCTCGAGTTTATGGCGGATAACGGTCATAGATCGACGATGCCCATGATGTGTTCATGATCCCTACAATGCCAAGAAGAAGGCACTGATGTGTGATTGCATCTCTATGGAGGTTGGTCACATCAAAGATGAGGGCAATATCCTTTTACCGCGAGTGAACTCACTTGAGATGGAATCTATATGTACACAATGCATGTTGTTCAATCTGTTCTTCTTTTAGAATAATGGTTGATTATTTTCCGTTTTGCCATTTAAATAATTAACCGCTGTTTGATTACTGTCTCTCACATTTATAGAAGATGTACGTCCGTCGGCCTTTCGTTACGGAAAATATGGTATTTTTTTGGATCTAAACCGTTCAAAATTTTCGAAAAATATCATTTTTAAAAATCCGAATTTTTTATAACCGAATCGGATCGAATTTTAATAAAATCGAAAAACAGAAAACTTTTTAAGATCTAATTTTTTAATTAAAAACTGAAATTAAATTTAAATCGAATTGAATATTATATAATAAACGATTGGTAAATATTTTTGTAAAACCAAAATAACCGAATCGAAACCATTTTGGAACTGAACTCGAATCGAACCGAGTAGAACATAAACTACACACTATTGTTACCGATTCCTGTCGGTTCTGTCTAGTCCCTACAGTTTCCAACCGGATTCCCGCCGTACGAGGTTTTTTACGTTAGAAATCCGCAAAAATCGGTGTGTGGTTTTAGAGCGGGTTCCGGCGTCAGTCTCGCTTCCGCGGGTATTATCTCAGTTTCGGATCCGTGATCCGGATACCCGCGGCGCGGTTGAAGATGAGTACTGCGATTTTTTTTTTTTTGAATTTCGTTGATTTACTTTAATTTGAGAGATATTTTGGTAATTTTATATGAAAACAAGTTTAATATTATTGTAGATACAAATATAAACCCGCAGCACGAATTTCCGGTTTCGCTTAACTCATTTTCTCTCCTTCGCGAGATCGGTACGGGCCTCGGGTAAAAACGTCTATTCATGGCACCGTCGCGAAAACTGGGTTGAAGTTGGATTTCCTCTTATGGTTCACTTCCACGGTTCGTTCTCAGACATCTTCCGCGCCGAAGCTGTTCGATGAAAGGGCTGAGTAGAACTTGGTGACGTGGAATAACCCAGACAGAGAACGTTTTTGTGCATGTTATCGGCTTAGTGAAAGATTCAAGCTTTTCTTCAAGAATCTTAAGGAAAGGGGGGGGGGGGGGGGGGAAGAACCAGATAGTTGAGGGTCACGCTTGTTTGGTCTAACTATAGGAACTTGGATCTTGCAGAAGCAGTTTGGAAGGAGGGTCGTAGAGTTACAGCCAGATCATGTTGGGCAATACTGTGGGGTGGGTGGTTCGATGATGCAAGAACCGTGAGAAATTAGAAGCATGAAGGAATTTGCCAGACAGGTCTTGAATCCCCGCACATTATCTACGCAATGACAGTTCAAGCTGTAGTGGCAACCAGACGAGAAACTTACACAACAAAACAAGAAGCAAACGCCATTACTCTTCAAGTTAATATGCATGGTCCAACCATCATTACTCACATATATTATAACTTCATATATATATATATATATATGTATATACCATCAAATCTGACAGATAAAGAGTTTTAACTCGGTTTTTTGGATCGATGTCTGATCAATCTTGAAGATTAGGCTGAGCGAGCTGGAGGCTGTAGGGGTGAATCTCAGAAGGAATGGTGGCGAGCTGAAGAACACTGCTCGGTTGCTCGCCGTAGAACTGAAGCTGCTCCAGGAACTGCTGATTCTCCGGCGGCTTCCCCTCCATTGCTACCTGCTGATACTCTACCGCTGCTCGGTGCTCCTGGATCTGCATTCATCATATCATATCTTATATATATGTATATATGGACCAACCATAATCAAGTTCAAGATGTCAGCTTTCAATGTTTGATAACATTACCCAACGGTACATGTTGTTGTTTTCTTCTTGCAGCATTCGTTCCTGTATATCAACGTATTCGGTTATAAGTTCATAACAGTGGCAAGATGAGAGAGAGAGCTACCTTTCTACTGAGATTGTCCAACTGTTGTTGTAGCAATTCATTCTACAGATTCAACAACATGAAAATGTCAGTGTCTTATAGGGAAATCAAAGGGGGGGGGGTGTATATAAACATATATATGATACATATGAATACCTTGCGGTCGCGGACCTTTTGGACAGAGAGTTCGAGCTGTTGCTCGAGTTCGTCGAGCTCGTTGGGAGGGATGGAGGTAATGTCCTGACCGTGGTACGGACGCATGCTCAGCTCAAGCTTACATGTCTCCCTCCTCAGGACCGCAATCTCGTGGAACAGTTGTTCCTACAACCAACACATCCTCCGTTAATACCCCTACTTTTCAGTTCGAACAATCAATGTTTCCGATTGCCAAAACATCTGAAACTAACATATTATATATCTATATATGCATATATATATATATATATGTATGTGTGTACTTACTCGGTTGTCATGATGTTCAGGGAGACGAGTTCCTGTGACTTTCAAGTACCTGTCGATGATCTGCTCCATCCTATATGTATCACATTCATCATCTTCACGAGTCAATATATGTGATTAAATTTGGATCTTTAAAGTTTAAATCAAACCATTACAAAAAAAAAAAAAAAGATGTTTCCATAGATTTTCTGGATATTAAATTGCACAGATAAATATGTATCAGATCTTATCAGGTAATATTTGCATAAATCTCTCTTGTATTCTTGCACATTAATTCAATATACATTAATCTAACTCCCTACATATATATTATTATTCTTTAAATTAGATTTGTAGACTTCTCCACAATCTGGAAAACATAATAGGGATCTTTCTCTTCAGTATATGCCCTTTTTTTCTTCGAATGCTAAATATAATCTAGTGTGTATATATAGATCCTGACATGTTTTGTATAATCTTCAAAGAAAACATAACCAAATTCTTCAAGTATTTTGGAAATTAAAGACTTCATGATGGCTTCTCCAGAAACCAATCATGATCTGATCACAGGCAAGACTTATACACAACAGACACTCACCACGCATTTAAATCACAAAATATCTAAAACACATTTTCTGAAACCCTAGCATGTCAGAAGGATTCTTCGTTGCAGAGAAATTCAGTCAAACCTTAGCCCTTGACCATCAAGCACACACACACAAGAAACCCAAAGAGAGAGAGAGAGAGATGAGTAGTGGACCTGAGAGGTTGGGAGCAGTATTCACAGAGCTTGCCGGTGCCGGAGAAGATGATGAGACCGATCTGAGCATCACAGAGGACAGAGAGCTCGTGTGTCTTCTTGAGAAGACCACTTCTTCTCTTGGAGAACGTAACTTGCCTCGCTGTCTGGTTCTCTATCCTCTTTATCTCTATCTTTCCTCTCCCCATTGCTACGCCCTTCTTCTTTTCCTCCTCCTCCAACCAAATCAAACACAAAATTAAGATATACAGTATTATATATATGTGTAGCATATATAATGTTCATCCAAAACCCATGAAAAAAGAATGACAAAATTAGCAAGTGTGACCCCGTGTGTGTGTGTTCTTGGGCCTCCATACGTACGTAGATATGGAGGAAGAAGAAGAAGAAGAAGAAGAAGAAGAAGAAGAAGAAGAAGAAGAGACCTTAAAATTAAGAGTCACAAATACAAAATTATCTATTTGTGTGAAGACCATGCAAGAAATTGGAAACCCTAAAACAAATCAAAACTACTATGCATCTGAAAACCTAAAATGGAGATTACTGGATCGGTTTCAAGCACGTTTTGATCCTTCATTTATGAATGATCCGAGAGAGAGAGAGAGAGAGATAGAGAGAGAGAGAGTGTGTCTTGATGAAGAAGTACTTTAGAAGAGTCCTCGGCGATGATGAGGAGATGGAGAGATAAGGGGTCTCATGCGCGCAAGAGAAATTAATGTGTGGAGAGTATATACTTTATTACACTTCTCTGTGTCTTGTCAGTCAGTTTGTATATATATATATATATGAGTGTGTGTATATATTTTTGCCGTGTAGTTTTTGCCCTCTCATTTATTTTCATGTTTTTTCTTCTGGATTTTAATTACATGCTCTTATAATTTTGATTATATACATACATCCCCACTAAAGATGCTAAACCAGCTTAATTTCTTGGCAAATTATTGTGTGTGTGTGTGTATATATAGTTTTTATGAATTATATTGAAGAGCAAAATCATTTTCAAACCTTGTTTCATCCACGTCAACGAACTAATAAAGCACCAAATATTTCTCCCGGAAACTAAAAATTATTACAACGGATGAATATCTATATATATATATATTTATATATATATAATATTCGATTGATACAATTAATGGATGAGTGATATTTAAGATGTTGCCGGATTATATGAATGAAAATTTTAGCATATCCTTTTGGAGGTTTGGGACCATCGATCATCTTGTTACATATTAAATAACATTTTCTTTATAATTAGGGTTTACGGCATTTAATGCTTCGGCCAAACTTTTGATCCTCTTTTTTTTTTCATAAAACGGTTTAACATATATATCTCTCATTGTGCATTAAACGAACTTTAACTATATAGTTTCAACATTTAGATTGATATATACGGATTTATAAAAGTTGAAAAGTTTTTTCATTCATGCATGCAAACTACACATAATTAACCTCTTGTTTCTGTGGATGTAATCATGTAAATATTAAGATTTCGTGTCTTACGGTAAAAATTTAAATTAATGGGTCGTCAAGGAAACAATTTTCTAATGATTTAACAAAAAAAAACAATTTTCTAATGAAAAAGTTATAATAAATTTGGATGTTGTGTTATAATTCAGAGGACACGTACGTAGTGGCAGTGTTGGTAATTTGACACACAGAGGAAACCCTCTTTCGTCCAACTAGGGTTCCAGGAGATGCCAAATGCAATCTGAATACTTACCATAAATGGAAAATACGGTGAAAAGGTTTTTTGGGGGGAATTAAGATTTCCAAAAATAGAAAAAGCAAAGGGGCCAATGGCCAAATGGGAAACGACAAATTGCAACAATCGTTGAAAATGACCTTTTTTTTATGCACTCTCCATCTCGACTTACTTTCATTTTCTTACCCACTCACCAGTTTAAAAAAACAAAACTTTATTTAAATTTCGTGTTTATTAATAATTTTTTCCTGTCTCTATATATTTTTATTGCAAATGTCAGTATTTTATTACACAGATAATACAGACGAAAAATATTTTTTTACAATTTCGTATCTATCTATATATATGTTAGAATTTTTTTTTGAATATATACGTACGAAAACATATATTGCAAACTTTTTGGCCTTGGGACCGAAGCCACGGATCCGGACTCTCGGCTTTGTGACGGCCGTACGTTTCCATCCGTGTCCGGCCGTTGGCCTCTTGGCCGACAGATCCATGCGTGTCGATTTTCTTAGACCGAATGGATCAATAATGATCGCTTATAAACCAATTATCGGATAAAAATGGAACCGTTTTAACAAATCTGGAATCGATTGAAAGGGGTTTGAAACTCTATCAGCTAACCGTATTAGATTCTGTTACCAAATCGATAAATGGAACGCGAAAATCTTAATATAATGTTAAATCGTTAGGAAACACGAATGATAAAACTATATTATTAAATTAATTTGAGAGTCAAATCTGATCGGAATAAGAGTCTTTTAGGTCTTCCACATTGTTTTAGAAAAAATATATATAAATAGAGTTTCTAGGAGCAAAACGTGATATATGATTCAAGGATAATTATCGTGTGTAACATATTTCTTTGTTTAAATGGAAATAAATATATTTTTAAAATTTTGAAACGAGGTAAAAGCACATCTAATGGGTGATCATAATTCATAAGAGAGCCGCGTGATTACTAAAATAAATATCGGAAAAAGCATTTCCTAGTAACCAAAACGCTATAGGCATGAAACAATATTACATGTAACATAACATAAAATTTGGTGTACATGGTATCTCTAAATGCGAAATTTAAAAAGGTGATAGGAAAAGAAAATTATTTGAAAGTTATTTTTAATCCTCGGAGATTTTACAAAAGTAGGTGGAGAAACCGTCGGTCAGACACCATGCTGGCATAATACAAAAATAGAAAAATATGATTAGAGAGAGATCAATAGATGGGTCCCCACAAAATTATTTTTGTCATTTTTAATTATATTCTATGGACATTATTTCGTATTTTGTGCAGTCCAACTTGGCTCTCTCTCTCTCTCTCTTCATACATACATACATACATATATATATATATATAACATAATCACATGTTATTTTGTAACGTGGAGTCATGCTTGTGTGTAATTATTTTATGAGCTTAAATTACTACACATGTAATAGAAAAAACAACACAATTAAAGATATATATATATATAATACCGTGTTTTCACATGAAACATGTTAAGTCATTTTATATTTGTAGTTACGAAACCACAGATAGTTCATATGATAATATTCAATCTTTCCATTTGGTCAGTGTGTGGATGATTATTTTTCACGTGAACCAATATTTGTTCGTTATAATATATATATTTTCTATGGATAATTATATGAATATGAAGGGAAAAGCGCGTCGTAGGAAGTGAATCGTTTGACGTCAACGTCTTTCACCACCACGGTGGGACCCATATCTCTCACGAAAAAATTCATCAAGTATTATTATTATCTAATTTCCAATTATATTGCATATTTGGTTATATAAATTGAAATCATTCCTGCGTTGTGACGCTGATCCATGCTTAGGTGGCATGCATTTTTAAGATTAGTAAACACATATATTCATCATTATATTTAAAACAAGTTGTACATGTAATGCCGTACATACATATATATATATATATATATATATGTATGCATATGATATGATCGTTTTGTGGCATGTATAATGTATTTTCTCTTTGTGATTATACGTTATCACTAGAAAACAAAAAGAGAATTTAAGCCCTAATAAATTATAGATTACCATATTGATTTATATACACTGTTTTGGGTTGGCAACTTGGTTCAATGGATTTGTAATCTCAATACTCGCCAAAAAAAACGAACCTTTACATGAACGTGTCATGTGTGTGTAGAGATGGAATAAAAAAAAGGGAAAAAGCACCAAATAGAAATTGGAAAAAGGAAGAATAATCCTAAGTAGGGGTGTCAATCGGGCCGGGCCGGCCCGAACCCGCATTCGGTTCGGAAGTTTTGGATTCGGACTCGGGCCGGCCCGATTTTTTCAGACCTATATAATTAAGCCTGAAGCCCGGCCCTATGTATTCCGGGCTCAGGTCGGGTCGGGATAGGTCGGAGCGGCCCGTGAACCTCTCTTTGTAAATGTTATTTTTTTTTCTTTTTTTAAAAAAAAATTCGGGCTTTCGGGCCAGCCCGACTCGAGTCCGAAGCCCCATTTGAGCCCGGTCTAAAAGCCTGATTTTTTTTCGGGCCAAGAAACTTCGGACCGGGCTTCGAACCTCGGACCCAAATTGACAGTCCTACCTATAAGTTAGTGAACCCTAAAAGTGTGAGAAATTAATTAAAGAATAGGAGCCAAAAAAAATGAGATTAATAGAAGAGAGCAATGAAATGGTATACATGAATTAAACCAAACATAAGTGAAGATCAATAGCATTTTAAGATACTTGGACTGCAAGTTACTTGTGTCATGACATCAAGATGTTATAAATTTAAGTCGTCGTCATATATTATACCCTTTTTTGTCTCATTTTCAGAATATAAATCCACTAATAGTAGATGTTATATATATATATATATGTGTGTGTGTGTGTGTGTGTGTGTCAGCAGCTCCTCAAGATTTAGGGTTTACCTTTTCCTCTTTGCAAAATGTTATCAGAGAACACCTCTTTCTTGGAAGATGCCGTGTATTGCTGCTCCGATACTGGCCAGAGATTCAATTCAACCACCGTCCCTTAGGCTTAGGCTCTTAATTTTGTCTTGAGCTGTGCCCTTACCGCCGGAAACAATGGCTGCAACATTCAGACGGATGCAACAGCTATAGAAGTGAGAACACCGTGTCTAGAAGAAGAAGGCCAAAGCCAGTGCACTGACACAAACCATTTATGATCCTCTCAAGGTTATTTACAGAATCCAAAATCAAACATTAAAGAGACAGAGATACTCGGGAGGAAGATCATACCGCCATAGTGATCTTTAAGGAATCTATCTAACTTTTCTCCAAAACGGAGGCTAAAGACTAGAAGCTCAAACAGGTGACTAAATTTTACTCCCACAACCAAATGCAGAAGGTGGTGGGTGGCATAGTCAAACTGGTTTACTTGCAACTCAGCAACAACAGGCTTCTCAGTTCCATTTCCCTGTTTGATCATATGATCTATAAATGAAAAACAATGTTGGTCAAAATGAAGGGCAACCCTTTATTCCTTTGGAATAGAAAGATGTATATCTTGTTACCTTATTCAATGCAACAGCAGCATCTTCTGCAGTACCTGTTATTTCTCCAACAAGAATGATACCTGAAAAAAAGAATCAATTGTTTCGATATCCGTGTCAGAATCTTTCATGAAGCTACTAACAGAGAGGATGGGGAACCGCAAGTAAAAATATCGGACGAAAAGAACAAACAGCAGAGAAGATGAACTGCAAATGTGACAACACCAAAACAGCACAACCAGAAAGGAGGTTCTATTGCAATTGGATCACTATCATCGACAAATTGAAGGGCTTCAATATAACATAAGCATGTGGTTGTCGACCAATGGCAAAGCAGTAAAACTAATCAATGGAAACAAGAAGTTTCAGATCTAAAGAGTAGAAGAACAAAACATATATGCAACCAAACCAACTTGTCAATGTCAAGAAGTTCCAGGCAAAATGCACTGAAGCCATTAGCAGAACCACCAGATGAAGCTGCTGGTCCGGTATAGACTGAGTTATCAGATACAAGAACTGAGAAGTCATGTTGGCATGTTTGTGCAGGAGGTAGACTTACAGAAAGAAACCAGAATAAACGCAGTTGAAGCAATCAGGTCTCTTTCCAACTAAATGTATTGGCGTTTCTCAGCTGAGCCTTACACTTAGCATGGGAAAGATGGTTGATCCAAATATCCAGAAGCTCCAAGATTCTAGTGCAGCAAGAAACCGAGCAAGACAGTGGAATAATCAATATAAAATTAACATTATACATGCACAAAGATGAGTACTGGATCCCATCAAATCGTGATCTCCCCTCACCTATAAGCAGCAGTCAGAAGGCCAGCTGAGTTACAAAGCCATTACCTGTGAATCAAAGCAAAAGTTCATCAGAAGATTATTACATGAAAAAAGAGAACAGAAGACAACCCAATATTGCAAAACGTCCCAATTGTACCAACCACGATAACAGTATTCATTATGCAGTATTAAGCCCAAAATGGAGCGTCTGAAATAAAGGAACATATCGGCGGTTTTTTTTCTTTCTGGTACTTCGTAGGAGAACTGGTGGTCGAACTTGTGGAAGCTGTCCAGAACAAGCATGAAGATCCAGAAGCATAGGATGATACATAATTACATATACGTACAGTGTGTATAACCCAATACAGTATCCCTTACGATGTACGTACTGACAGGACAGGTTCTCCTTCACCTGCATGTTTCACTGCAATGGAAAAATTATAGTTGACACAAACAACCAGTTCAGCTTCCGCTCAGGCGCAAAAGATAAGGCTACAACAGGAAACAGCAAAATAAGAGATGAAGATGTAACAATGTACATAAATTCCATATTGGCTTTTGAGTTTCATTCGATTATCTTTCAAGCATCACACAAAGCAAACTGGAATTAAAGGCAACAATCATAGGCCACAGCATGCGTGAGCAATGTTATACATGGCATCGACGAGCTACAGAACATGCTCGAAAAAGCCAATTAGTAGCGGTATTTGGTGGAGTAGTCCTTGGGAGCAATCACCAGACCACGCCCCTTCCTCGCACCACGGTAGACAGTCTCGACAATATCGATGAACTCTTGCTTGTCCTTGAGAGCCCAGTTGATCTTATTGTTGTTTCCAGTTCCAAGATCAATCATGATGTGCTTGTTCCTGAAGAAGAACATGATCGTCGAGGGATCATACAGCTCGTACATCGTGTTGAAATCTGGCACCTCCGTAATGTCCACCAGATATATAACAGCGAAATTCTTTAGGGTCTCGGCAACAGATGCTAGCACTTCATCCATCTGAACCCCAAACCAAAAAAATCGCACAAAACATCCATAAGTATTCCCTCAAACACATTGTCACAAGGCTAAAAACAGAGAGTATTTAGTTGAAGACAAATACAAACAAATTCATCAAATGTCAACCATTTCTTAGTGAAAAGGATCACTAGAATCACTACAAGCAGCTTCAGGTCTAGTGATCTCTAAATTTAGCACGAAAGGGTTACAATTTTCACCTAGCCCTCGCTTGAACAGCAGATTTTCCATCTAATTAGCTCGAAAGATGCAAAATTTGTTTGCACAATCAGACCCGATTCGCAAATACCGATGATGGGTATCGAAATATTTCCAACCCTAATCGAATCAAACATAATACCGATTTCGAAAAAGGAAGGAAGGAGGTAAAACCTGCATGCAGGTCTCGTCCCAGTCGTGGCCGAAGCGTATGACGACGAGACGCGCTTCCTCCGCGAGGATCGCCTGGTCCACCGCCCATCCCGAGTGCAAGTGCGGTAGCAGATACGACATCTTTCACCTCTCTCTCTCTCCGCCCGCGAGTGAAATGAAATCCGATCTAAACCAATTTAGCCCCCTTTTGTGCCCTAGTTTTCTACTCCCCTCGCGATCGCGGTTGCGCGTGGGACACACGCTCGACCGATCTGACGACTGACTCCTACGACCACGGCCCATTTACCTTTTTCGGCCTGGCCCATATTGACTCTTCTTAATAATCAAAATACACGATCAAATATTATTGTATTTATTTATGTGTGTGTAAAATATAAATATAAATATAAATATAAATATAATACTAGGAAGAAGTCGTGGTCCGATTGAACGTAATAGAAGCGCCGAGTCTTTTCTCTACATTTCTCTCATCCCAAACCTTCCTTCGTCGGCGTCAATGGCTTCTTCTTCCTCGTACAAGAAGTACGAGATTCGCAAGCGGAACCCTAACCCTAAATCCGCCGCCCTCCTCGTCATCGATCTGCAGAACTACTTCTCCTCCATGGCCAATCCCATCCTCCGCAACGCCCTCGCCACAATCGACCTCTGCCGACGGGCCTCCGTCCCCGTGTTCTTCACGCGCCACCTCCACAAGTCTCCTTCCGATTTCGGCATGCTCGAAGAGTGGTGGAACGGCGATCTCATCATCGACGGCACCCCCGACGCCGATCTCATCCCGGAGATCCGGCTACGCGTGTCGGGTCCCGAGAATGAGATCGTGGAGAAGAACACGTACAGCGCGTTCGCCGGCACGCGCCTCCAGGAGAGGCTGACGGAGATGGGGATCGAGGAGGTGATCGTGATCGGGGCGATGACGAATCTGTGCTGCGAGACGACGGCGCGTGAGGCCTTCGTAAGGGGATTTAGGGTTTTCTTCTCGACGGACGCGACGGCAACTGCGAATCGCGAGCTCCACGAGGCAACGCTCATGAATCTGGCTTATGGGTTTGCTTATCTCGTCGATTGCGATGGGCTTACCAAATCCTTAATCACAAATTAACTTAATTAAACTTCCTTTTTTCTGTATAAAATCAATACATTTTATGTTTATATATGTTTTGTTGAATTGCATCTGACGAATTTGGATTTGATGCACATTTTCTTATATTTGGGTCAAATGCGCATAAAGTTACAAACTTTGAGATTAAATGGAATAAGGACAACTTATTTATCTCGATATTAATTTTTCTAGTTTAAACCCATGAAAATTTCGGACTTCTGTAATTATCCAGAATTTAATTATTTAAAATCCAATTTTAAAGATGAAAATGGGCAGGATATGTAACTAAGTTGAGTCCATATATATTGGATATAAATTAGGGAGAATCTGTTTAATAAATAAAAGGGTAAAATCCTAAAAAAACCTCCAACTTGTATAAAAATATATATAAATAAATCTTAAATTTAAAAACTATCGTTCAATTCTCGAACTTGTAACTTGTCACTGAATAAAACATCGAACTTGTAAATTATTGCGCTAATAAATCTTTGACCGGTTTGACCACAATTTCAGACGATCGAAAATCCACGTATTAACGGATTGTTGATGTCAATTTATACATGTTATCAATTTTAGTTTAAAAAATGATATCAGCAATCCATCAATATGTGGATTCCTGATCGTTTGAAATTGTGGTCAAACCGATCTAAGGTTTATTAGAGCAATAATTTGTAAGTTCGAGGTTTTATTAAGTGACAAGTTACAAGTTCGAAGATTGAATGATAGTTTTTCAAATGGAAGGTTTATTTGTATATATTTTTGAAAGTTTGAAGTTTTTTTAGGATTTTACCATAATAAAAACAAACAGTACGGAACATCTTAACTTAGGATAAACCGGGCCGCAGGAAATCTTAACCCTAAAACCCCCATAGCAGAGAATCCTGATATCCTATCCAGTATCCTCAGCTCTCATCATCGTCGCCATCATCATCATCTCTCATCAACTCCACTCTGAAAGCTCTTCCCTTTACGAGTCCCATAACAAAATCCAATCTTGCATTCCTTTGCATTTCTGTAACCGGAATCCATGGACGTCTCCTGTTCTCTCTCCCCAGCTCACCAAATCTCTTTCTCGTTGAAACCCTCTTCGTTGGTCAACTCTTGCTCTCTCGGGTCGGTCTCTGTTCTCGGATTCTCTCTGCCGCACCTCAGATCTCCGCTTTCGGCTAGATGTCGTCAAGGTCGGACTTCCGGCGTCATTAGATCCTGTGTTGCTGTTGAACAGAAGCCCCGGACGGCTATTATTAGAATTGGTACAAGGGGAAGGTAAATTTCCCTCCTTTTATATCCCAGGCCTCATCTGAATTATTGATCTTGCTCGGATAAATGAAATGTTGGGTCTAGGAGCGTCTGGGTGCAAATGGGTTCGCCTTAATTTCCTGAATTCGGCTTGCGTATAAGCGAATGTATTTGTTTTATGAGGTTTGACCGATGGAAGAGTTGGATCCGGTTCCTGATTGTTTGGCTGAAATGAGGATTACGTTGTTTTGCTGGATCGTTATGCGGGAAGTTCTGCGTTAGTTCTGGCAATGATTTAGCGAATCTCTTCGCCAAGTGCGAGCTTCGATCTGATCACGACATCTCTATTGGTTTCATCTTCTCTGTTCTTGACGAGTTGTAGTACACAATGCGTGTCTCTATCTTGCTTCAGTAGGTCTTCTAATGTATGAAGTGTATGAAGGGAAAAAATGAGTTATTCTTGCTGTTTGTTTCTTTCCAGGTTCGGGGATCTTGCATTATTGTTGGAGTTATGTCTTTGCTTAACTTGTTTTAACGGGTATGATTCAGCTTATCTTCTTCCTTTTGCTTATAGTCTTCCCATATGTAGGACAGCCCCCTAGCACTTGCTCAGGCATACGAGACTCGGGACAAGCTCAAGTCTATACACCCAGAACTAGCTGAAGATGGGGCTATCCACATCGAGATCATAAAAACTACTGGTGATAAGATTCTAACTCAACCACTTGCAGATATTGGTGGGAAAGGGCTTTTCACCAAAGAAATAGACGAGGCTTTGATAGATGGGCGTATTGACATTGCTGTCCACTCAATGAAAGATGTTCCAACTTACTTACCTGATAAAACGATTTTACCCTGTAACCTTAAGCGTGAGGATGTCCGGGATGCATTTATATGCCTGACCGCAGCTTCATTGGCCGAGCTTCCAGCTGGAAGCGTTGTGGGAACTGCTTCTCTTAGAAGAAAGTCACAGATACTCCACAGATATCCTTCTCTGAAGGTTAGTTATCAAGTCTCATCATGTATCAGCTAGTCATCTCTCTGTGAAAGTTTCACCACCCTTCCCATTTATATGAACGAAAATATTGTTAGCTTTTCAGAATTTGGTATGTTCAAAAAGGAGAATAAGCTGCGCTGTTCATATTTTTTCCCTGACATCAAAGACCCTGTTTATGTTTACATATTTCTGGAATTTTTGTTCTCCTTGCTCCATTGGCGTCTGAATTCTTACATCGTGTAAAGAAACTCAGTTGGCCAAACTAGTGAAAGGGTTCTACTGTTTTACTGGTTCTGCTATAAAAGAGCTGTCAGCAAGAGAGTCAGAGCTGAAAAAGATTGAGACTACCCTTTGTAGCTGTAAAAATTTGATCTTTAATATTGTTTTTCGTTAAACTGTATTCTGCAGGTTGAGGAAAACTTCAGGGGTAACGTCCAGACAAGACTGTCAAAGCTTCAGGGAGGAAAGGTTCACGCCACTCTATTAGCGTTAGCTGGGTTAAAGAGGTTGAATATGACGGAGAATGTCACGTCAATCTTATCCATCGATGAAATGCTACCAGCGGTTGCTCAAGGTGCGATTGGAATCGCCTGCAGGAGCGATGACGATAAAATGGTTTGTCAAACTCTCTCTTGAAACCCATTCTCTAGTCGAGATAGAATCTCAGAGCCGTAAAGGATGTTCCAATGGTAGTTCGGGTAACAGGGTTTAGATAGGAAGAAAAAGTTAATAATGTCAGATAACAAAGGCTTCCAAAACTTGTAGGATCATTGAAAAAAGTTGGGACTAATGTAACTGGGACGGCTTGCTCTGTTGGTTTTTACATATGCAGGCTAATTACTTAGCCTCGTTGAATCACGAGGTAACAAGACTAGCGGTTGCATGTGAGAGGGCATTTCTCGAGACATTGGATGGATCATGCCGTACTCCTATTGCTGGATATGCATCTCAGGACGACGATGGCAACTGTGTTTTCAAGGGTTTGGTCGCTTCTCCTGACGGAACTCGTGGTATGAATACACGTAATCCCTATACGTTATATATGACGAGAATCATGCACATGCACATGTGATAAAGATCGTTCATTTGCTAATATCGTCGCCTGATTCAGTGCTCGAGACCTCAAGAAAAGGTCTGTATGCGTTTGAAGACATGGTGAGGATGGGGAAAGACGCAGGACAAGAACTGCTTTCTCGTGCTGGTCCCGGCTTCTTCGGCGTTTAAGCCATTCGGACAGGAATCAGGATAATCTGTGACACGGATGAGGCTTAGGATATAGGATTTTGTTTTCATCCTAATATGTTGTAACTTTATGTTTATGAGAGAAAATATTGCTGTATCTTATGGTTTTGATGAAGATTCTTCCCAATGTAAAACCAGTTTTCCCAATTGATCTTCGTGTAAACATTGCACAAGAGAGAGAGAAGCGCTGAATATTCAAACCCATCAAATCAGTGTTTGTAAACACAAAACAGAACCATTACATTCTCCCTGTTTTTTGTTACCAATTGGCGTAATTTCTCGAAAATAAATTACAGTTAATGCAATTAAAATCTGGTAAGCTTTCGGTTTAAAGCTCAAATCCTGTAAGAAACTTTCAAGGACTTGTAGCCGAGAGAGAACAAGTGTTCTACTGCCAAACACAGTAAAGTCTCATAAAAAAAAACGAGAGAAAAACTCAAGAAGCTTAGCTCCATCTCCGCCTGTCCTCCTCTTCATCAACAGGAGTATACCACTCTGGTCGTCTCTTAGAATTGCTCAGCCTGTAGTTCAGCAGCAGTTCCTCGTTCTGTAAAGCCCTTGTGGCCACCAGAACAAGACCCTTCAGAACCATTGTATCCGACCCAAAACCACCGGTTCGAAACCAGAAGCTGCCGAATCTCCTCATCTTTGCTTCCCCTCTGTTCCCGAAAGATATGTTTGGAATGTAAGGTCTCATCTTGTTCTCTGTCAAGGGGAAATCGTAAGGGCATATCATCACGTTCGGGGTCATGTCTTTTGCCGGATGGTTGGTGTAATGACCCAAAGCCAACGGGTTTCTCCTCTCTAGAACCTCCTTGACATTTCCCGAAGCTTCAAGCGGTTTACTCAGCAGCTTCCACATTCTGTCTGAACCTTTTTCTTCTGTGTTTGCACCTGCTATGGTCTCTGGCATGGTGGGAGTGGACCCATCCCAAACTTCCCGCGACTCTCCTCCATAGCCCCAAGGCTGAGCGTTTATTACAATCCCGTCATACCTTGTGATCAGGTATGAGTTGTGAGCATCAACCCTTGGGTACCCGGGAATGTACCTGTAATAAGCAGGGGAGTAAATCACACCGGGGTAGAAGGCTATCACAGAACCGGCATCTGCTTCACCCTCGATGAAACACCCTTGACCCGCATCTTTGTGAGGAATTTGGGATGGTTTAATCTGAAGGCTGTAGCCCATTAGATCCTTTAACCTCTGCGAGACTTCAGCGAGTTTCAATGGCTTTGTCTCCGGAACAACTGTGCTGAAGAAGAATCAGTAAGAGTGATTAAGATAATAAGAAAGCAGAGTTAATGTACTACACAATAAACCATTGGTGCATAGTTGATGTTTGCACTTAAAATGATTTACGCACTAAGATTCCATTAGTCATATCGAGTTAGGTTTCAAGTCTCAGTCCTCCAAAGCAACCCAAAAACAGGGAGCAAGAAGCAACAAACTTGTCCAATCTACATGAAACTCTATACCAAAAAAGGACAGAAAAATTGAAATACATATGCGAGTTCTGATATGCAACCGCCTGAATTGCCATTTAAGAAGGTATTATTTCATAATCTCTAACCACAGGTCCACAGATAACTTGTTAATAAAATCTGGGCAGGTCCATGCTTTTGCGTTTAAAGGGTTCCAACTTTTGTATCATCATATAAAGCAACAACCTATCAACTGCACACAATTAAGTAAAAAACTCACCAGGCTTGCCAACGGCTGGAGTGTTGTCACTCCTGCCAACAGCAAAACTAAGGCCACTCTTTCGAGGAGGGCTTGTCATTTGCGACCCTGTCTCCATCTGTTCCTTATCCTTGTCAACATCAGGAAGAAGAATTTCATCCATCAAAGAGCAGAAGTTTTCAATTTGGTAGTGGATGTTCTCCTGAACTTGCTTTTGTTGCTCGGATATAGAGGCTTGACCAGCCATCTCAATGATCTCTTCTGCATCAGCTTCCTCAGCATTCCTTCCCAAGCGATTATAGCTGAATAAATATAATTTTTTAAGACCAAAGCCAAGTGAAAAAAGGGCAATGATTGTTGGTCATTTACATTTGCAAAGAGCACCTAGACAACTCAATTCAACTCAACAACAGATGGCCATTTGTCAGACAACTCAACATGAGTATGATCATTGTCAAAACATTAGTTCATCAAAAAAACCAAGCTAGTTTACACACTTATATGTAAGAGTAAGGTGAAAATCTTTTCTTGCAAAAACACTTCACATCAAACATATAATTACCTAGTATACATAAACAGCATGTTCATGTCAGCTTCAAATTGCAGTTGCCTTGGATTCTTAGCAAATGTGGGGCTCTTTGCAAGAACTCCAACAGCCTGGAACCACAAAGAATGGACAAAAATGATGGAATCAGAAAAAGAAAGACGGAAAAGGAGGAGGAAAGAACCAAATCTCAAAGATGATTATGTTATTACTGAACCTCCAGAAATCACATGCTCTATAATCCCATCCCACGATCCCTCTCACAAGGATTACCATTTCAAGTTGTATAGCAAATATCGGCTTTTGACCAAGACGAATGAAAATTTCCCCGAATCCGGTTTTAGCATACACTATGATAAATCTAAATCAGGTCCCTGGACAAAAATACTTGCTGCGTGAAGACCACAAGTTAAGACATTCCTCGGGATTAAACCCGCCATCTCCCAGCCATTGAAGACGAGCTCAAAACCGACACAGGTCGAATCCTTATGATGCAGAACAAAACCCAATCTGCTCTTTACTAAACCCTAATTCTTATGTTATGATAAGTTCAATTTCACGACACAACATCTGAACTAGAGCTGTAACACCTGATGAAATCAAGCTAACTTGAAGAAACACGATCCACGAAAAGCTTGAACGCAAACAAAATCAGAGCTTTCTCTGTACCCAACACCGCAACAATGAAAAATTATACAGAGATGAAAATTTCCAAAAAGGGTCGGAAAATCGAGAGGGTTAAACCCAGGAAAAGATATTCACCTGTTGAAATTTCTTGAAAAGAAACGCCATTTCCGATTTCAGGTGAAACTGAGGGGAGAAACCCAAATGTGAGATCCTTTCTTAGATTTTCGGCGGCATAGAAGAGCGCAGTTGTCTCAGTTGAAGTCGAACCTTCCACCTCCACGGACGATGCTTTCTCGTTCGACTCTTAGGCTTGGGCCCATTTAGATGCCGATTTCTGGGCCTCAATGTATTATTTTATTTAGGTTTTGAATTGGATGGCTTTTATTTTTGGTTTTTGGTTTTAGTTTTTGGATTTTGGTTTTTAATTTTTAGTTTTTGGTTTTTAGATTCTATAATATGTAAAAACTAAACAGAAATAGCATTTGGTTTTTCATTGATTTTTTCACTAAAATGATTTTTCAAGTTTTTAGGAAAAATAATTTTGTGAAAACTTGAATGATAACTTTTTTTATTTTTGGATTCTAAAAATTCCAAAAACTACAAACATTCGAGGCCTTACTTTTTTAGGACTTTGGGGCCTCTAAATGTTCTTTCTGTTCCATTTCGTCACATATATTTAAGGAAAATATGAAACAAATAAGCTGAATTAGAGAAAAAAAAATAATTTAAAGTCTATATTTTCTGGTGAATAAAAAATCTACACTTTTTTCAAACATGGGATTTCAGCTTTTGTTTCCAAAAAAGGATATAATTGCACTAAGGTGTAATCTTTAAAACGTCACATTTTTAGGAAATTATATTTTCAAGAGAAATAATATCATTATAGATAATTCCACCAACATCCGAATTGCAAAAACCAACGTTACGACCACACAACACAGCCAATACGAAACTACGAAATGGGCAACTCAAAAAATTGAAAATTTCAAGTCCAAGCCAACAATTGTGCAACATCAAGTGATGACAGTGATGATGATGATGATGATGATGATGATGATGATGATGATGATGATGATGATGATGATGATCAGAAGCGTGAAGAGGGCAAAGAGAGGGAAGAGAGGAAGTGAGAGAATAGGGAGAGAGAAGGTGGCGGAGCAAACAACGGGACCTGGTGGCCGGCCCCTCTCACGGTCGCGAAGGTCAGTCCTCCGACGTACGTCTCGACCCAACCGGCCACTTGGTTCTTGTGGAACCACGCCCTCCACTCCGATTCCACCTTCAGCCCCATCTTCTTTATGCTGTAACGAGTCGACGTCACCGGCACTCTCCCGTCCGTGTCGCCGCTTCAATACGAGAATTCCGACAATGCATATGTAATAACATATCTTGACATTCAAATACCAAACTAGACACGAAGAGTTCAATGGTTTGGTTCTGAAAGAGAGTCTTTAGCTTTGATTTGGTTATGCAAACCGATAAAATCTTGGTTACAAATTTCATTTGGATGGATAAGAATCAAAATCAAAGCCATGAATGCCAAAACCAGAAACATTAAACACATTTTAGAGCGGTTAATTAGGTGTAGGTTTAGGGTTTTCAAACGGATAGATATGTTCGGTTTATAGATATGCGCCCTTTTTCAGTCTGATCGGTCAGGTTTAACCCGGTTAGGACATAACCAGAGAGTGATTAGTTGTGTAAAAGTACCTGTAGATCCAAATCCGGAGACCAGCGTTAAGGAGCTTCCTGATAATGGGAATCACAGTTGATGGTGCATCGCCCCATCCCTTTATAACGCCGCTGAAACCCATCAAAATCTTTCCGTCTTAGTGGTGTATACTTTATATATATACATATATATATGTGTATGTATATAGATTATATATACATACCTGCAAGAGGAATAAGGATAAGGGAGACTAGTGACATTAGCGTGAAGAGCGGCTTGCACGTCTTTCCGGTTGAAATACTTCTCCACGTAGTCCTCCGTGCATGGATCGTACCCTGTAGGGAGCCTATGGGACAGATCCTGACATTCACACCATACCATCATGGACCCTTTTTTTGGCTTTACGTATGTACACGTATACTATCAATAAGGAATACGTATTCGTATACGTATACGTACGTGTGAAGCGAGGAGACTGGGAGACATGGCGAATCTTGGACGAGATGAGCTGAAAGAAGAGAGGCAGACGGGAGCATAGATGCTGTAGATGTCGATATCGGCATACGCTTGCATGAACCCTTTGAAATTATCCCAGCATTGCACGTCGTCGATGCTTTCTTCATCGAATTTGCATGAATTGTGTATGTTTACGTAAAGATTGTCTGATATTATCGCATGGCTCCATGCATAGTCCACGAGACCTGCCATGTCCGTCGCCTCGTTGATCACTGCGTTCCCAATCTACATAAAGAAACGCAACATAGAAAAAAAAAATGCTCATAATACTTCTCTTCTGGTCCCCTTGTCCGCCACGTATATATATATTCCGTTAAAAAATTTATTGAAAAATTAATTTTTATTAATAGAAAATCGTACATATATAAACCGAATCGGGGTGGAAAAAACCGAACATAATATATGTTTTTTTTTTCAAAATCGTAATAACTTAAAATGGATATAGTCGAACCGAAACCGGGTTCGAAATAATGTATGCATATTGACTTGCATCACAAGTAACTGCAATTCCACACAGTGTATGCGTACCATGAAACCTTTGAGATTGATGTAGCTGTCTTTAGCAACTCCCTTGTTCCTGTCGTAGATGAGCTCCGCGAGTTGAGGAACATAGTGACCTGAAAGCGTGAACCATATATGACTAAAACGATAGATGGACTGAAAATCGAATATTATATGTACATATATATGCATATACATATATGTATATGTACCGGCATAACTCTCTCCGGCGATGTAGAATTCGTTGGATCTGAATTCAGGGAATCTTTTGAACCAATTGATCAAGAAAGAAAGAGAGTCCTCCGCGGTTACTTGATCGCCAAGTTTGCGAAGGTCCATGGTATGGTTGGTGTATGAGAACCCCACCCCCACGGGTGCTTCCAAGAACAACATATTTGCAGCTGACGGGTGTATATATGTGCATATATATGCATGATTATTATGTATAAAAAAAAAGATGATAAATCTAATCACGTGGTACTTGTAAAATTGTATAATCATTTATTGTACTTACCTTTGTTCCAAGAGTATTTATTAAGAGTAAGCTTGTCGCCGTTGCTATGAACAAGAAAGGGGCCGAGTTCTTGAGCAGCTCCATATGCTATGGACGAGCAACCGGGTCCTGCTTTTTGCATATTTATAATCATTTAATTAACTTATAATTATCGATTGCTGTAGATCTTATATTTAACATAATATATAGATTTGTTTTTTTTATATCTTAATAGCATATCATGACCCAAAAAAAAAAACAGAGAGGACCAATAGATATGCAATGCATGGGACCTCATTATCACATGATTCGTGCCGTCAAGATTTATTATATCATTTGTATAACGCGGTTTGGTTTCCATTGTTAATAGTGTATGAATAATTCACATTATAGTAACAATATATTTCTAATTATTTAAACGAAATAAATGGTGAAAGGGGAGAAAGGGACAGCAATGAAGGCACTAAAAGTGATGGAGGAAGAAGGAAAAATCTTGTGTCGGATTCGGACATATTTGTCTTTTTCATCAAATCACATAGAGATAAAATTATGAATATACGTGAGAATAATAATTCCTAGATCCAACGGTCCATATCGTACGATAACAAACACGACATTAGAGACTGCAATTCTTAGTAAAAAAAAAAACATTATGGTCCCCTCTCCACTTTCGACCAATGCTTTTATTTTATTTTTTCTCATAGTTTCTCTTTTGGAATTTTGTATACCCTCAATTGAAATATTTACCAAGAACTTTCAAAATTCTCTTTTTCCAAGAACCAATGATTCGAACATATGCAAATTGGATTTGGACACTCGCCGTTCTTATCTGATTTTGTTCGAAATTTATCAATACGAGGTCATGGATATTCTCGTATTTCTAGATTCATAGTGTGTGTATATATATATATATATGAGAAAATCGCAATCACATATAGATCTAATCTTTTATTAAAATTTTAAAAAAATATCTAAATTATAAAACTTCTATATAAATATCTATATTTTAAAAAAATTCTATATAAATTCTTCCATTTTTAAAAATTCTCCAAATAAATTTAAAATTTAGGTATTTTTCGTTAACAGATTTTGAATTTATCTGAAAAAATTAAAAGTTTAAAAATTTATATAAAAATTTTAAAAGTTAAGGTATGTATATAGAAGTTTTATAATTTTAATATTTATTTATATATTTATATGTGATTTATATATTATAGTGCAAATATTTCGGATGTTTTGTCTTCTCGTTCGCAAAAACCCATTTGCCCATTGAAAGTGGGACACATGATTTGGTCGATGTATTGAGAATTTTTCGTTACTACTACCTCCATACATAAATACATTATCACGATATATTTAGAGAATACATTCTATATAATTCTTTTTGCCCTTGTATTTTCTAGGATAAGTTTGCATAGATTTCTGTTCCCAAAAAAAAATAATTATTGAACTAAATTGAATAATAAAATTGTAAAAATAAAATAAAATAAGAGTCCAATAGTGACAATAGATATATAGATCAATCGTTGTCGCATTGATATAGAAGAAAACAAGTGAAAACGAGGGTTGAAAAAAAACCGACCGAATTTGAAGCCGAGGTTTTGGGGTTTTAAAATTTTGTACTGTAGTGAAATTCATTTACTGACATTTTATATTAAGTATATATATTAACCTGCTCATTATTATTAATAATCAATATAAAAAAATTGTAACCAAACCAAAATATGAAATATAATTGTTTTTTTTTTTCACTTTTTTTTCTACAAAAATAACCGCCACAACCATTTCAAACGGTACTTTTTCTTCTTTACGGATACCGATAAAGCTTCAAAAAAGTATAATAAAATATCGTTTAAAGAGAAGAAAAACGATTTTGACAAAAAAAAAAAATAGAGAAGAAAAACGATAACATGGAAATATTTTACCCATTGTTTTAGGATTTTTCTCTATACTATAAAAAATAAAAAATTTTAAATGCATAATTTAAATCCAAAAAAGTCGAGCAGTTCGACCGGTAGAATAGATACTTTGTGTCTCATCAGTCCCGAAATGGAACTTCACGCTTAGTTATCCATTACAATATATTTTTTATTAATTTATTATATTTTAAACCAAAATTTTAATATATTCATAATTTAGTTTATCATTATAATGTTTTTAGTTTGAGTTCAGATTGATAAATTAATTTTTAAAAAAATAGTTGTTATTAATAGTTATAGAAAATTGAGTTTTAATTAGATGATTTCGAATTTTAGACTTTTTTTTTGTACTTTTCCTTTTTCTAATGGGGATTGTGAGGGTTTGATGAGAATCTAAGTGTTGTCCTTTAATGTTACGTAATATAGTTGATATAACTTGATAGTAAACAAATGTATTGATTGGTTACCAAAAAATAAATGTTCAGACAATTGCACCAAAACCAAAAGAAATAAAAATATTATCTTTGCATAAAGCACCTGAAATTTCATATAGGTTTATATATTTGAATTGAACCGTCTATATGCATCTTCTATAAGTTCAGATTCGCTTCTTATAAATCACAAAGACATATACATATATAAACATATATATATATATATATAGAGAGAGAGAGAGAGAAAGAGAGAGAGAGAGAAGATGACCTCCATTGAGCCAGAGGACGAGAGGGCGGTGCGAGCTGTTGGACTGAGCCTCGAAGAACCAATAGAACAGAGCCTTGTGGGCTTGCAGTGGCCGGAGATTGACGTAGCCGGCGTAGTGCCTGAACTCCACCGCCGGTTGACCTGGTAATCCGGTCACCACGTCTTCCTCTTTCTTCCCGTACCACTCCTCTTCCTTCACTTCCCGGCTACTGGCTATCACCGTTAACCCCATTACCCACACTATCCACACTCCTAACCTTGCCATTTATTTTCCGAAAGAAAAAAAAAACAGTGAAAGAGAAACAAAGTGAAAGCCGTGTTAAAAAGGAGGGGAGCTGAGAGATATTTTATAGCACGACACGAGAGGAATTGAATATATTATATATACACACACACATATATATATATATATATATATGTACGTGTGTGTGTTAGAGAGAGAGAGATTTTTTCGGTGGAATCTTGAGGAATGAATGAAAAGAAATTAGAAAAAGGCAGGGGAAATTTTTTTTAAAAAAAGGGGAAATAAATGAATATGAATAATTACATTTTTCTTGGCTTTTGTTATTGGAATATTGTGGAGAAAAAAAAAAAAAAGCTATGGCGATGTGGGGGAAACCGGACTATGACGTTTCACGAGTTTTTCTAACCCTTTTTTTTTCTCGATAATATTTTTATTTAAGTTTTTTAAATATATACTAATAGTCATCGTTTAAACTCGTGTTTGCCAATCCAATACATAGACACATGCATAGCCTCAACGAGGTAGTGTGAGGTTTCTCCTTTGGGGTCAAATCTATCACATGCATCCAACCATATATATATACACATAAAGATAATAATGTGATAATTTATCCAAAAAAAAAGATAATTAATAATGTGATTTACTGTAATTAGGGGTTTTCTTTAAATAGAAGGCGCTTGCAAGTTTGACATATAGCCTCAGCCTCCCGATTTAGTGTAATTAGCCAAAATATACCCTAGTGACGTATGAACACATTATCCAATAAAATACACCACGTGGCCTATTCCATCAAAACACACCACATGGCCCTCTAAATATAATTTACTGTGTTAGGGTTTTGAAGACGTTGCCATCCATGGGTATGTGGGCATGTGCTGTTACTGCCCCTCATAGGAAAAAAAAATTATGGGCATGGTACCAACCAATGGGCTGTCCTCTACGTATTTATAAGAGCAAGCCCATATAAAATAATATGGGCCCAAGATTGAAGAGCAAATTCGGGAATTGGGCTTTTCACATGGCCTCGCCGATTGGAATGTTTTCAGCATATTTTAATTTTATTTCTTCTTATATTTTAATATTTTTCCTCGATGTTGATAGTTTATCTATTTTCTTTCGATTTTTTTTAAATCATTTGATTTTTTTACATAACTACTTCTGGTGAGATGGAAGAAAGATATTTAAAATATATGAAATTCGGATAAATTATTAAAATATATATTGTATATCAACCTTAAAGATCGGATGTGTGTGTATATATACAATGGTGGATCTGTGTTATATAGAGTGAGATCATAGGCATCCACTTAGCTAATTAAAATTTGTTAATATATTTGAAAATTTTATAAAATTATAAATAATATCATCAAATGTCCCCATGAAAACCAAACTTATATCTATAAAATAATATATATATATATATATATATATATATATATATAATTTTTGCTTTCTCATGTAAAAATTTCTAGATCCGTTATATAATATATATAGTATGTGTGTATATGGCATAAATAAAACTTCAAAATTTGATTTCAAGTGTAAAGAAAACGCATGTTCTCATTTTTCAACGTTTTATAATAATAATAATAATAATAATTTCCCTTCGTAGATCACCTTCTTTCTTTTTTCTTTTTGGTATATACGTACCAATGTAAATAATTTGGTGAAAACGACAAGAATATTCCAGACAGCCCAACATGAATTTTTGTGGAATCCTAAAATTGTTCAAAAACATATGCAGATGACCTAAAATCAAACAACCACTTCCTCCAACATGTAATTATCTTCCACATAAACCTCATTTTAATTAGCCAATTTGAACTTTAATTTGTTTGTTTTTATTCAACTATTATATTGGGTCAACCTACGTCTATAACAATTATTCACGTTGGTTTGATTTAACGGCGTTACTTCTGAAAGATTTTTTTGGCTAATTAATTAAACTGCATGAAATCAATATTCCATTTCCATATGACCATGGCTAGTTTCATCAAGTCCCTAAATGACGAGTTCATGGGTTTCTGCCACGTGTTTTCACACTGATTCATAATTTCATGAAGCTTCTCAAATTACAATTTAATAAGTATTAGGAAAAACCCCACAAAAAAAAAAACAATTATCTAATCCTCATCATCTGTCTTAATGTAGAAAAACAACAGTTTTAATTTTAAAAAAACTATAAAAATTATTTAAATATAGATTTATTGTTAACTTTATTGCTACATCGAAAAACATAATTGCAAGATCACATATAGAATCATATATCAAATGATTTATTTAAATTCGAACCCAGATGATAGGACTTGCATATATGAATATATATATATACACACACACGTAACGTGTGGACGTTTAAGGAAACATAAAATAGTATTAGGAAATGTATGATATAAAACTTAAAATATCAATAAGTTCGGGATTGCTCAACGGCTATATGTTGTGGTCCCTTAACTAATTTATGTCCGAACGCACATAGCATACCTTATGAATGATACCATCATCATTATTATTCATGCACGTTTCCTGAAAATTTCATGCGTTATATATCATGCAAAATCAAAACCCCATAAAAATTAAACATTGGAAACGAAGAATATATATATATATATATATATATATATATATATGTGTATGTATGTATGTATGTACAACAGTGGTGTGGGAATAGTGAGAACTTAGGTTATCTGTCGCCACCCACTTCCCATCTCCCGAATTTTTTTCTTTTCAAAATGGATCAAAACTCTTTTTTATTTTGACGAAAACACGAAATTATTTTTCAGTTTTATAAATAAAAAAACCAAATTAGGGTAAAACCCTGAACCCTACTTAAAGTGAAAGAAAAGGAAAAAAAACACAGCATATAATTTCAGATCACCAAATCAAACCCAATTCCTAAGAGCCACACGCACAAGAGAAATTCATGCGTCTTCTTCCCATCTTATATCTCTGTATCTCTCTCTCGCTCATGCACATTCTTCACCCGCTAACTAACACGACACGATATTAACGCGTTCAGATCCTTCATTTCCCAGGAGATATACTGTTTTTTCTGTTTCCGCTATGAACCCTAATTCTTATTTTTTCAATCTCACCTCTGGTGCCGTTCCCTTGATCTCTCCGTCGTCTTTCTCCAGCGACCCTCTTGTTTCGAAGAGGCTGCTTTTCTTGAAACACGTTCAGATTCTCGAGCTTTTCGTTGCCCTTTCCGTGTTCATCGCCATACATTCCTTGCGTCAGAGGAAACGTTATGGTCTGCCCCTCTGGCCGGTTCTCGGCATGTTGCCGTCTCTTGTTTTTGGTATCAGAGGCAACATCTACGAGTGGATGACCGATGTTCTTTGTCGTCAAAACGGGACGTTCTGGTTCAGAGGTCCGTGGTTTAGCAGCCTGAACTGCGTCGTTACTTGTGATCCACGAAACATCGAGTACCTTCTCAAGACACGTTTCTCCGTCTTCCCGAAAGGGTCCTACTTCCGGGAAACACTCCGTGATCTTCTAGGTGACGGGATATTCAATGCGGATGACGAGATGTGGCAGCGACAGAGGAAGACAGCCAGCATCGAGTTTCACTCCGCCAAGTTCAGACAGCTGACGACTCAGTCATTGCTTGAACTCGTGCACAAGAGGCTCTTGCCGGTTCTGGAAACTTCTGCGAAAGCCTCCTCGCTGATCGATCTCCAAGACGTGTTATTAAGGCTAACGTTCGATAACGTGTGTATGATCGCATTCGGCGTTGATCCTGGCTGCCTCAGTCCGGGATTACCAGAAATACCCTTTGCAAGGGCCTTTGAGGATGCTACAGAGGCCACGGTGATGAGATTCGTCACGCCCACTTGCGTGTGGAAGCTCATGAGGCACCTAAACTTTGGAGTCGAAAAGAAGCTTAAGACGTCGATCAAGGGTGTGGATGATTTTGCAGAAGAAGTCATCCGGACAAGGAAGAAGGAACTGTCTCTGCAGAGGAATGATGGCGACGATGAACACAAGAACACGAAGAGATCGGATCTCTTGACGGTGTTCATGGGTCTGAAAGATGAGAAAGGGGAGCCGTTTTCGGACAAGTTTCTTCGCGATATCTGCGTGAACTTCATTCTGGCAGGAAGAGACACTTCCTCTGTTGCTCTGAGTTGGTTTTTCTGGTTGCTCGAGAAGAATCCGAAAGCGGAAGAGAGAATCATGGAGGAGGTATGCAAGATTCTGAGCGAGAGAGGGGGAGAAACAGAGGGAGAGGGGGAGAAGAAGAGGGAATATGAACCGGTTTTCAGACCGGAAGAGATCAAGAAGATGGATTATCTTCAAGCTGCTTTGTCTGAAGCTCTCAGACTGTATCCTTCAGTTCCCGTGGATCACAAGGAGGTAACTTAATTTTCTCAAGAAACGAATACTTTTTTGTTTTGTTTTTTAGGGTATAAAATTCAAGTAATTAACCAATCCAAAAATTAACATTATGTCAATTTCATAACCCTTTTCGTCACATACGGTCAAACAAAGGTTATATCTAAATTCAAATATATTTAAATATGTGTTGGTTACCTAACCATACAAAAACTATCATGGAATTTATCTATAGGGATGAGGATAAAGCGTAAGCTGATAACCTACTCATTACATAGAACATTATGATATTAATTATTATAAACCATGGTCTTAATTATGATATTAATTATGGTATTTCAGGTTCTTGAAGATAATGTATTTCCGGATGGTACGGCGCTAAAGAAAGGAGAGAAAGTGATATACGCGATATACGCAATGGGAAGAATGGAGGCGATATGGGGAAAAGACTGCAGTGAATTCAGGCCAGAAAGATGGCTGAGAGACGGCCGCTACACGAGCGAATCTGCGTACAAATTCACGGCCTTCAACGGCGGTCCGCGGCTGTGCTTGGGCAAAGATTTCGCGTATTACCAGATGAAATTCGCGGCCGCGTCGATCGTTTATCGGTACAGAGTCAGGGTCGTGAATGGTCATCCGGTCCAGCCGAAACTGGCGCTCACCATGTACATGAAGCATGGCTTGAGAGTGAACATGATCAAGAGGGATGTCTATGAAATTAACGAGTGTTATGATAAGATTAGTGTATGATCAAGAAGTTAATGTTTATATTTTGGTTTGATCTTTTTTATATGGCAGTTGTATACAATATGGTTTCATGTGATAACCATATGTAGTTGCGTATGGTAATGGGAACAAATATGGCGAGCCGGCTGGTTTGTAAGAATGTAATAAATTTGATTTTTGTGTGTGTGTATAAATTAATTTATATTGAGGGTTTTAGATTAGAGTTCGTATATTATTGAACCAGCGGTTGGGTAAAATGAATAAATTATTATCATTTACGTATGATCGGATATGAGTAGATTAATAATCTATGATTAATTTTGGTCTTACTATTTGGAAAAATATGTTTATTTGGGTTCAAAACTTGTTTAGTTATATGGGTTCGACGGCGTTTCGTGAAATAAACGGTAATTGTGAAATAAAATTAGAAGGTTTTATAATAAATTATACTAAAACTAAATCGAATTAAACCGGTATACCATTACACCCAAACCGAACAATTGTATTACGGTTCGATTTTCGGTACACGTTTGACCGAGTTACAATTCCAATAAACCGAAGTAAACCAAACCGAACCGGAACCGAGAAACCGAACAGTAGACCGGTTGCCTGCTCCGTTGTCCGCTCGTCCACCCGTAGTACCAAAAGCCCTAAGACCCATAATCTGATATTCGTGTCTCCATTTCTGTTCTTCCCCCATCTGTTCCAAACCCTAGAATTTCGACGATGAGGGGTCTGATATCCGGCGCGAAGAGGCTATGGACTCCGTCGTTGATAGCAACGAAGACGGCGAACACAACTGCGCGAAGAAGCTACAGTCTGATTCCGATGGTCATAGAGCACTCTTCGCGAGGCGAGAGAGCCTACGATATCTTCTCTCGGCTGCTAAAGGAGCGTATAATCTGCATCAATGGTCCCATCAACGACGACACGTCTCACGTCGTCGTCGCTCAGCTTCTCTTCCTCGAGTCCGAGAACCCATCTAAGCCTATCTATATGTACCTCAACTCGCCTGGCGGCCATGTCACCGCGGGTATGCTTTCTCTTGATCACCATTCTCTTTTTCAATGTTTGATATTTTTGTTGTTTTCGTGGGAAATGTTGCCTTGGGTTTGGTTGTTTTTGCTGTTTGATTTGGTCTGTGATCCGGGTTGTGTGATTGGAGATGCGATTGGTAATTGCCCTGAACTTTCTTGTGTTAGGAGTGTTGGCTGTGGTTTGGTTATTCTGGTGTTTGTTTTGGCCTGTAATTTGGGTAGTGCGACTGGAGATTGGATGTTAAATGCCGCAAGGGTAGCGTTCTTAGGTGATGTTTGTTCTGGTGTTGGTTTTGGTCTATCATTTGGGTATCGTCAAATGAATTGATCGTATGGTTCTTTCAATGGACGTTCTATTGTGGATCTTCTTGTCATTTATTCATGAATGTTTCCGATTTTACTCGTGTTTCTGGAGCAGCTATCTTCCTAGAGAGTTCACTAGACATGCCTCGTGTTAATAATTGGTAAATGAGACCGCGGAGGCACACACAATGAGATTGCTGGGATATGTGACAGTGGCCTTATTTGATGTAACTATATTTTTTTGTATATGTTCTCCAGTTTTTCCTTATTCCTCCTGGTAGTATGATATGTCTACTCATATTTCCGAGTCTCTGGGTCGTGGCCAGTGGTGATTTTTTCTCTCTCTAAAAATCCAGTCTTGTTTCTCATAATTGCCATGCTATTCGTTGATTAAGATTTTACTTGTTTGGTGATCCCTTAGTATCTTTTACCTTCTATGCAGGTCTTGCAATTTATGATACTATGCAGTACATTCAATCACCAATAAACACCATTTGCTTGGGCCAAGCTGCATCCATGGCTTCTCTCCTCTTGGCAGCAGGTGCCACGGGGCAAAGACGGGCTCTCCCAAATGCAACCATTATGATTCATCAGCCTTCCGGAGGGTATAGTGGGCAGGCTAAGGATTTGACAATTCACACTAAGCAGATTGTTCGTGTGTGGGATGCGTTAAATGAATTGTATGTAAAACACACGGGGCAATCGTTAGAGGTGATTCAGAAGAATATGGATAGGGATTATTTCATGACTCCTGAAGAGGCGAAGGCTTTTGGAATAATTGATGAAGTAATTGATAAAAGACCGATGGAGTTGGTGAGGGACGCTGTCGGAACTGAAAGCAAAGACAAAAGCTCAAGTTAGGCAGACATGGTAATCATAGTAATAAAATTCCATTCCTTTCCTTTACCAGTTTTGCTTTGCTGCTGTTTGATATATTTCCAATGGATAGTGTTATGCTTTGGTGGGGAATAATCTCTTAGACTGTTTTCCTCCTCATAAGAATCCCGGTTATCCTTTGAACATTCTTTTTCCTTGCTTGGTTAAGGATCCACTCTTGGCCTGATCAAATGAATGGCTTGATCCTTAAAGATGAGTCATCATATTAGGCCAAAAGATGTATGGCTTCTCCAAATTTGATTCTTGCTTTTGATGCTTGAATTTATATTTGGCTATTTGCACCAGACATCCCCGTTGGTTTTATGTAGGATGCTTAACAAGGGAAGAAAAGAATGTTGATGTGTTTTTGTTTTCTTTTTGTCACTTTAAAAATGTTTATTTCATTGGAATTTTATAAATTTGCATATATATTTATGCACTCACTTAACTAAGCATGTGTGTTTCCTTGATGTTTTATGATCCAAAATCAAGAAGGATATAGTTTATGCTTGTCGGAATCATTGATGTGAAAATATTTTTTGAATATGAGTTTGTATTTTTGTGCTATAAGACGCATATGAATATGTTTATTTGCAGGGTCTTGTTTATGTAATGGAGTTTTCTTTGCATATTTGAGATTGCCACACGTGCTGATATATGTGGGAAACTAAAAGATGTTTACATGTTGGAATTTTGTACATTTTCATGTGCCATCATCGTAGGTTTTTGTTTAATGTTTTTTTGTTGCTGATTGGATCTTAATTGAGAGAAATATGAAATAGACTTTAAAATTCAGATATGAAATGCTATTTTTTTTATTATATAATATTATTATTGAAAAGGCAGCAAAAAAAAAGAATGTGTGTTATTTCCAGGTCTTATATTGTATATGATACTCGAAGAGAAATTGTGGAAATAATTCTTTGTTAGGAAATTAGATAAATAATTATATAATAAGATGAAACTAATAAGAAGTGAAATTTGATTAAAAAACAATTTTTTTTTTTATACTTGTAAAAGGTAAGAGTGGAGGGCTCGGAAAAACGCCGACAACAGAAACCAGTTTTTATCTGTATCGCCTCCTCCTGAACTTCTCCCCAAATTTTCACCCTTTTTGCCCTAAAGCCCATGTCTTGACCGCCTCTCACATCTCTCTCTCTCTCTCTGGATCAATCTCTCTCTTCGTCGCTCGTTGCGTGATGCCATAGCGTCTCCGTCGCCGGAATCTCGATCGGCGAGCCTCTCCCGGAGTTTGTCTGTGCGCGTCTCGTGATTGGATTGGATTTAGCAATTGTGGTCGGGGCTCCATATTTCGGATTAAAATTAGGGTTTTCAGAAGGTTTCGCCTATGGCTCCTGGGCGTAAAAGAGGAGCGAATAAGGCTAAGGCCGAGGGACAGTTGAGTTTCGGCGATCTGGTTCTCGCCAAAGTCAAAGGTTTTCCTGCTTGGCCTGCCAAGGTGCGTGCTTTCTCTCTTCACTCGCTTGGCTTATCCTCGATTTCAGGCGTTTTCATCACCAGGCGTGATTTTTTCCCAACGGGGCCCTTTTTACCCTTTTCCTCTCTCTGTTCCTTAGGTTTTCTAGTCGCATTCCCATCTAGTCTCTGAGTTATGTAGTGTTTGTCTTCTTGGGTTTTGGTTAAAATTGAGCTATTCATGGGGATTTGGATTTTGCTTCTAGAGGGTTTTTTGACGTTTGTTCTAGATTAATTTCTGTCTATGCGAATGCTTTCACAGAGCGTCAAATTTCGGGCATGTTCTTTGTTATTTTATTATTACAACTGTATTCTGGATTTGAGTGGCTTCTCTCTGTTGCTTGACTGCTTATCGTACTCTCTTCGCACGTTTCTAGTTGAGTTTCTTTTTTGTCATCAAATTTAAGGGAGTAGTCGATTGATCTCTTATGTTACTTGGTTGGGACTTGGGAGCCTATGGTTGAATTGGGGGAACAACGTATCTGCTTTTAGAGGTTTTATTTTACGAATTAAGCTTATTACAAGTGCTGGTGAGATCTGATGGCTGTCTTTCGGTCTATGATTTGATTTCTGATTCTTGTACGTAATGCGTGATACGTATCACTGTTTATGCTGACATTCTTGGTTTAGGTAGATCGAGTTGCCAAAGTGCCATGGATATGTGGAGGTAGACATTTGGAAAGATACAAATTTTTTATAGCAAGGATGAACGCAGTTTTATTAGTATTATGAGCACACTTGTATTTCCTGGCATGTACATGTTCCTCTTTTGTATTGTTTGTTGAGCTTTATTTGTAAAAAAAAAGTTGTTTCGTTTGATGTAGAGTTTCAATCTTTTGTCAACTTTTTCATCGTAACGATGTGCCTATGAAAGGATATTGCTAGGAATTAGAACATTGATCCTCGTTAAATTATCTCTCATGCGATGAGTAACATAATTATATCTGTGGTTTAGTTATCCTTTTTGGTTCTGATACTGTTTTTGAGCCTTAACTTTAATCTTGTTTATTTTGTTGTCTAATTTGTCTGTTATGTTCAAGCTGCTTGGTTGTCCGTTTTTAATCTGTCTTGGATTCATTTAGTATGTGGTGAAGTTATTGATTTCAAGTTTCAGATCAGCCGGCCTGAAGATTGGGATCGTGCTCCGGACCCAAAGAAATACTTTGTTCAGTTCTTTGGAACGCAGGAAATGTAAGCAGGGCTCTTGTGTAATGTGTACTTATTGATTGTTAATGGATTGAAGCAATTTATCCTCAAAATTTGATAATAGTATGTCTCCAAAGGTTTATGCATTATCCTTTAGTGGGATAAGCTGTTTCTGGATATACCATGTTAGTGTGTTGCTATGAATTAGGTAGTTCCTATATACATTTCACTCTCCCAGTTGAGCAATCACCATCTCTTTCCGTCTGCAACTTTGTGTCTTTCTCGACTTATTGGCCTGGTGATATATCATCAGGTGTTTTTATCCTGTTTTTCTTTCTGACATGATTTTCTATTCGATTTTGTTTTCTAAACATTCATAGCTGAAAATCTTCCTTAACTGCAGAGCTTTTGTTGCTCCACCTGATATTCAAGCTTTCACTAGTGAGGCAAAGAATAAGTTATTAGTGAGATGTCAAGGGAAAACAGTCAAGTTCTTCGCACAGGCTGTAAAAGAAATCTGTACGGCATTTGAAGAGTTGCAGAATGACAACTCAAATGCTTCAGGTGACAAGGTTGTAAGAGTTGCAGCCAGCCATGAGACTCATTCTCTGGATGCTGTCGAAGCTGATGTGACAAAAGCCGAGTTAGCTGATGAAACAGATGATAAGGAAGCCAGGAATGATGCAACTGATAACTTCGATTCCGGGCTGGAGATTAGTTCCCATAAATTAGAGGAGAATAGTGGAGAGGAGGCAAAGCTTGAGGTAGCGTACAATGGGAAACGTGATTCAACTCCAGTTCTGGGATCAAAGAATAAAGCATCCTCCTTGAATAGTGAACCACTGGAGCATGAGCCTGATGGCCGTGCTGCTAGTGAGATTTCTCTCCTTGATCCTAATAGGAAATTGAAGGACACTAAAAAAGGGAGAGATGGCAGTGGTAAAAAGGAGTGTTTAGATGGTGATATGGTTTCGGATTCCAACATTGGAAGTGCCAGAAATTCAAAAGACTTGCTGAAAGAAAAACCAAGTCCTAAAGTCTCTGGTTCTATGCATGACTCGGCACCTCATTCCAAGGGTGGGATATCTGGCAAGAAAAAGAGGCCTCAAAGCGAGGTGGCAAAGCCTGTATCAGTAGTAGATGAAAGCTCGCATGCTTCTAAAAGGCCACGGCATGAAGATGTGAAGGATTCAAGAAAATTTAGGAGCAATCATCATCTTTCTGTTGGTGAGGACAAAGTTGAAGAATCTGATTCTGCTGGGGCTATATCAGATTCGAAGCGTGAGATTGTTTTAGCATTAAGTGCTAGAAGAGGAAATGCTCAATTTGGGAAAGAAGTAGTCGCCTACACGAAGCGTCGGAGGCAGACTGTGAAACATGTGAGCTGTCCTTCTGTTTCTGCGTCTCATGATAAAGAAGGGAAAGGTCGTCCTGAACAGAAGAAAAGTCCGTCTTCCTTTAGCAGTGGTAAGGTTTCAGCTCCTTCAGCTTCTCAGTTGCCGAAGAAACGCCGGGCTGTTTGTATCTATGATGAAGATGATGACGAAGATCCTAAGACTCCAGTACATGGAACGCATGCCAATATTCCCAAATCAGCATCAGTTCCTGCTCTTTTTCAATGTTTGATAT